GGTCTCGTCCCACCGACCCACGGACAAAATTTACATTGTCAAGTAATTCTCAAAATTTCATGTCTATACCCTACCTAGTACGTACCTCTAAACAGCAGATATCCGGCGCCAGGTTCAGGGTGAAGTGGTTCCCCGTCCCAACCTCCTGCTCAGTCAATCCCCTGGGCCCCAGGGTAATCAAAGCTGGCAGGAATGTACCACACTTGTTTTCCTGATGCGATTCGCTGTGATTTGAACTCGGAAAACAAAAAAAAAAAACAAAAAAGAAAGTACCTCCAAACAGTAATCCCCAACTCAAAACCAAATAAGCAAGGCTTCTTCTTCTTCTTTTTTTTTTTTTTTTTTTTTTTTTTTTTTTTTGGGAACCACCAGTCCTACTAGGGGGGGGTGATACGAGCAAACCCCTCCTAGTAGACCACCAGCCGGTGCTCCAATCTATTGGTGGGGGGCAACACCTGCTGGAAAGCGCGTCCCGCGTCCCAAAGTACATCGGCTGCTGAAAACTGGATCCAGCATCCCAAATGTGACAGAGAAGAGCATCCAAGGGCTGCAAAACTGGGAGCAGTGTCCCGTTGATCCTTTCTTTTTTTCTTTTTTTTTTGTTTTGGAGTCCATGGTGTTGTAGAGGCCAGTCACTGAGTGCACAATCCTAAGTCCGGGCATCAGGGGGGTGGGACCACTGGGGGGGCCCAGTCACCAGTGGGACCATCGATCTACTGATTCTCTGCTGGGAAAGTTCCTGGCCTTACTTCCATAAGGGCAAAAGGGTGAGGGGAAAAGGGATCCACGAAGTCCGTTGCGGGCCTCAATGGAAAATCTCTGGGGTGATTGCCACCCAATCCCGAAAGGATAACTTATACTCCCTGGGTACGTCCCGCCCTGTTCCTGCCTCCTCTCCTCCGTTGTCCCCCGACCATTTAATAACTTCTGCCATCCATCCCCCTCTAAACAGCTAATGATTTTGTCGATATCCTGTTTGGCATGCACAAAACTCATTTTTTGTCTGGCCGCCTGCCACCGCTGGTTGGTGATCTCCGCCTCCACCAGTTGCCTAACCATGTCCGTCGCTTCGCGGTCTTCTATTTGGGGCCCCGCCATCTCCAGGGTGCACCTTTGCCACCATATCGCCCAACAAGGATAGCCCGCCCTCCCAGTTGGAACAGGTTTTCCGTCAAAGGTTCTTGCGGGCATTGAGGCCAATGTCCAGTCAGCAGCGTCCTCCGAAACACGGGTAACGAACAAACCGACAGTCAAAGTCAAAGTCAACAAGTCATTCACAAAAAAATCCCACTCTACACTCTACACACCTCTAATTAGCACCCCCAACTAAACACGAGCTAACAAACCTTTGCTGACCATGCCAAAAACACGAACATAATGAACACCAACCCCAACGAGGAGATATCACACCCCTGATAACAGACGAAACAAAATCAACGAATTGCCAAATTGAATCCACAAAATATGAATTTTACACCCGAAACGACCCTGATTGATACTATTCTATACTCACAGTACACAGCCTAATGATCAGAAAACCAAGAGAACACAATCAAGAAAGGAGCCGGGGCCATGAGGTCCTGTATTGTTAAAAAAAAAAAAAAAAAAAAAAAAAAAAGACTCGGAGTCTGTGAAAGCACCAAAGACCTGAGAATCCTGAGCAACACCCACCATGCCCGAAGCAGGAGCATAAGCAACAGCGGACAATCCCGGTAGCAGCTTGAAACCCGGTGTCAGCGACGGGGTGGGCAATACTGGTCGCGGCATGAAGTCCGTTGTCTCTCTCCCGGAAGTCGACGTCTGTCGATGTACTCGTGTCCTTCATCTCCAGCTCTTCACACAGATAAACTGCAACCGAACCGCTGCTGCAACACAATGACCGTGCTCTATATCTGTACTCAGAGGGCAAAGCCTCACGTTGTTTTTTTTTTTTGTTTTTTTTTTAGTGATAGGTACGATGCACAGATCCTCTGCCAGTTGACCAGCCTCACGTTTTTTTTTTTTTTTAAAGACATCATCCGGTCGCGGATCATGTTAATGGAGGTGATGGCCCCTTCCTCCCACGGTCAATCAAGGATAACCAACTCTCGTCGGCCAAGATCAGGCTATGGAAGGTGCCTGGTTGTGCCCCCTCAAAGCGGTCTCCACCTCAGCGCCCACACGCTCTTCCATCGCCTCTTCGCCTCCGCCACTCCCAACAGCAAGCTCTGGCTAAGCGCAGCTAATTCCCAGCTGCCCCTGTACGATCCCCCGCCGCCCGCGCGCGCGTCGTAGTAATGACGAGCTAGCGCAGCATTACCACTGCACTAGCGCGCCTGACTCTCGGTCAGTAGTCTTTGTGGATGGCTCCAGTCTTTGTTTCTTTCTTTTGTGTTTTTTTCCCTTGGAAAAAGCCAGCGACCTCTACTAGAGGGGATGGTATTAGCAGCCACCTCTAGTAACTGTCCCTGTTTTTTTTTTTTTTTTTTTTTTTTTTCAAGTCCAGGGTGTTATCCCTGGTTGTGGATGGCTCCAGTCTGTTGGTGGGGAAGCTAACAGTCAATCCTACATTTATCATTTATGTAGTAGTAAATTAATAATCAATGCTGATCAGGGCCGAGGTCCCACTAGCAAACAGGATTGGATTGAAAGCCTGAATCTGAACTCTGTTTTGTGGAACGGTGCAGAAAATCGAGATTGAACTGCTTTTCTGCATCTCTGCTTCAAACACGTCCAGATTCATGAGATTTATCCATTCCTAGTTGCTAGTGGGACCTCGCCCCAGGGGTTATTCGGCCAGATGGAAGGGAGTGTGCCTGCGTGTTGTATTGTAAAGTCTTCTGTGAATCGGCGGAGGAAAAGGATCCTGACTCAGGGCCAAGTCCCACTGGCAGCGTCGAGTTTCCTCAACACTTGAATCTGGACGTGTTTGTGGAGAGGTGCAGTTGAGGAAACACAACACAATTTTCCGCACGTCTCCACAAACACGTCCACATTCGGGCATTGAGGAAACTCAACGCTGCTACTGGTGGGACTTGGCTCTCATGCTCCCCAGAATGGATATGGAGCCAGGCCAGTATGGACCTGTGTTTTTTTTTTTTTTTTTTGGCGGAAGGCTGGATTACTCAAGCCGGGAAATGGGCCCAGTGTCTTACAAGAAGAGGCGACCGACTGGGGGAAAAAGGAAAAAAAGAAAAAAAAGAAGAAGAGGCGACCGACTGGGCTGGGCAAGGCACTTTGGACAAGCCCAACCCCAGTAACAAAGAATGACCAATCACAAAAAAAAAAGAAAAAAAAAAGAAAAAAAAAAAGAAAAGAAAGAAAGAATGACCAATCACACCAAAACACCATAAAACCAAAAGAGCAGGAAGATTAAACCAGCAATACTTGGCCCATATATCGGCTGCGGGCCCTTGTCGTGCACGCGCTGCAACTTTTGGGGCCTTCGTGGCCGTCGATGAACTTCAGCGAAGTACTACATCCCGAATACAAGACTCGAACACACAACCAACCGCTTGGCAGGCTAACACCCATAACCATAAGGCTAAGTAGGCTGTGGTGTGAATGAAGAGCCCCAACTTAAAGATGAGTACTTCACCCCACGCCAGCACGGAGATTCCGCCACACGGTGTAGTACCCAACCACAACCACACTCGTTCCCTACGCAGCCACTTGTAGTACCCAACCACAAACACGGTGTAGTACCCAACCACTTGTAGAGTTAACACCCATAACCATAGTGTACAACTCTACGGAGGTTACTGCGCGAAAGAATGTGCGTGCCGAGGCTACAAGCCGGGCAGCCCGGGTCACCCTATTTCCCCGGGTGGCCCGGCCGTGCAAGGACCAGGGAAGGTCCCAGTCAAAAAAAAAAAAAAAAAAGCAATCGAAAAAAGCCGAAAAAAAAAAACTGCAAGACATCCACCCTGAATATAATCGATCCACCCTTCCACCCACACGACAGGGTCTCGCCTTGCAGCGGGCCCTATAGCCCAACTCACCACCTGCGACTAAACCACCAGGACCTTTCCCAACTTGAAAAAAATGTACCCGGAGCCAGCGAGATACATCCGTGTCGGTCTGTCTGTGGCATGCATGGAAAATATAGGCCCGCGGCCGATATATGGGAGAGGGACTGATGGTTTAAAGGTAGCCCACTCCTCTATACTGCGCCCACGCCTCTATACTGTGCTCACCCCCTACAAAAGATGTTCACCGCCCGCCATGATGATGCCTTCTCAGAGTGAGTCTCCCACCTCTTTCCCTACCCACAATCAATGGAACTACCCTCCCACCGGCACGGCAGGGTCACGCCCAACGGCAGACCCCATAGCTGATGTGATTTATCAACGGCGGTCCCGTCCGGCCCAGCCCCCAAAATATGCGGAGTAGGCTACTTTCCCACTTTTCCCAACAGGGAAAAAAAACAAAGGGAGATCACTCAGGACAGGGAAGGGGTAGTACTGCAGACAGATGTGGCCAAACCTGCAACAACCGGACCTAACTCAGTTCGCACTCCCATGCATTGTTGAAATGCAGGCCTGAGTTCAAATCCAGATGGATGAAATCAAATGCCAAAAGACTTCCAAGTTGACAATGTGAGCCTGCAGCAACCATAATGCGAAAAGAAATTCAATTTGGCGAGCCTGCAACGAACTTCATGCCAAAGACATTGTGAGCCTGCAAAACAAAAAACTGAATGGCAAAAGTTTGTGAGCCTGCAAAAGCAGCAAAACAAACTGAATGCCGAAAGAGTTGTGACTATTGTGAGCTTGCACAGACTCTGAGAAGGAGATGGAAGGCAGACACAAGAACCAGAGCGCGATTCGTGACGTCGTCTCACCAGCAATCAGTCCTGACTCAAGCGATCGAAGAGGAGATGGGGTAGCGAGGAAGCCCGTGTCGTTGGACATTCAACGGCCCACCATAACCCTGAAAGGGGTAATGCTATGTCAGCGTCCTTTCGAATTACGAGGAGGCAGTGGTAGATTGAAAGAGCAACCACCGCCGCCCTCTTATCAGGTGCAGACGTTGAGATTGTCACCACCAAGCGCGGCACTTGCTGAGTCACGCAGGCGGCCGTTCAGAAGTGCATTCCCTCCTGAGGTTCCCCTCGGCATCCGCCAAAAACCCACAATTTGGATATACCCTCGGTCACGGCTAACGGTCGTCGGGGAGCACAAGCAGTGGCTGAGGCAATTTTCGCAGTCAGTCGAGCAGTGCAAGGCGTCGAGAGAGGAATCGGAAAACTCGAAGGATGCCAAGCGGGCACGCGTACGCAAATTTGGGTCCAAGCTCTGTCGGGCGATCCTGAAAGGGAAGAAGCTTGCCCATTGGCGAGCCGCACATAGAGGTGGTGCCATTGCTTCCGGCAACGGCGCTAATCACTCCGAGTCTGACGGATCATTATCGGGTGGTGTGAGCCGCTTCCAAGATGGGACCACCGCAAGACAGCAAGGCGGCCAGAGCTCCAGCTGCTCCGGTGATCTCTGCGCAAAAGACTGCAACCCCACGACTGTGCAGGTGACCTGCACTGACGATTGTCGTCACCAGACATCCGTTGGCCATCATCCTCTTCTTCGTGGCAACGTCGGTGGTAACGACGGCCACGCTCGCGCTTTTCAATGGTGGAAGGAGGTGGGTCATACGGCGTCTCCAGACCACCATCATGATGACCAAATTGATGATCACGACCAAAGGGGTCACTCTGTGTCGGCTCGGGAACTGACGCTTCCCAGCCCTCACTGGGGCCAACCCAAGGAAGGCCGGCACGTTGCAGGCTCAGATACGTCACTAGCAACACCAGCACCACCGAAGGCAGCAAAGGAAGGCAGGGCCTCCTCAGCGCCCCTCGGCCACAAGCAACAGAATTTGCGCGCTGGCTTTGCTGGTGACGTTGTCGAGGCAAGTGGTCGACCAGGTCCAGAAGAGGAACAAAATGCATTTTGTTCCTTCGGCGAGAACAACAACAGCAACGGCAACAGCAACAGCAGCTGCAACAACAGCAGCAATAGCACCGACCAGCTGGGACGAAGAAACAGCACCGGCAACTTGAAGCCTCAAGAATCTCAGCAAGGAGCAGCAGAAGGCCATCTTGTAGTAGGACATGTTTGTGATGGTGAACTGAAAGAGCAAGGAAAGAGTGTGGAAGATCCCTCCAGGACAGCGGTGGACTGTTGTGGAAGTTTCGGGAAAATGCAGACGAAGAAAGCCGCGACGAAATTGGTGGAATCGCAGCCGCTGCTGTCGCAGGCGCAACAGAATGCGGAAGAGATTGTAGGAGATCAGCAACCGCGAGGAAGACGGAAAGGGAAACAAAAGCCCAAGTGGGCAATGACTAAAGAGGAAATTGAGGAAGAGGAAGATGCGGAGGTCGAAAACCTTTTGTCCTTCGTTAGGCATTTAGATTACGACAGGTTTCTGGAGATGAGCGAAATGGAACTGTACAAATCCTTGGAGGACGCCATAGCCAAAGAGCAAGAGCTTCGTCTTCGCGGTATCAGTAGTAGCCATGGCTATGGCGATCAGCAGCAACGGACTCACCGCCATGCAGGCGAGGACTCGCACAACGACATCGCGGCCGCAGCCAACTCCGACGACAATAATGGCGACAAGAACACGACTGCATCCGACGACGGCAACAAAGCAGTAGCCGTAGAAGAGATGGAAGCCCATTCAACATGGGCATGGGAGTCGAGGTCGTCCACCGAAAAAGCGCTTGTCCTGAAGGACCTGCAAGAGAAAATCGCGAATCTCCGAAGTACAGTTGAGCTCGGCACAGAAATGCAGCAGAAGTTGGGTCCGCTCAATCCGTCGCGCAATCGTCGCCTTAATGCTCTCCGCAGCCTCTTGGCTGAAGCTCAGACCCGAACGGAAGACCAAAATCCCAGCAACTTAGTACCTAGCTTGTGGAAAATAGCGCAAAGCATTCTAGCCAAGATCCGGAGTTTTCGAGAGATACACTCCTCGGCAAGTGTACGATCTATCCTCGAGAAAAATTCCAAAGCTCCGACAACTACAGTCCATCTCGGTTCATCTACCAGTAGCACTGCTGCTCCTAAAGATCATCACCGCTGTGATCTCATTCCGGTTCGTTCCTGAAGATCATAACAACAGTTAACGCGCTATTTTGAATTTTCTGCAATTACCCCAAATGTCAAACTACAAAACTCGCATGCCCGCAAAACAATAGCCCACATGATCAAAGTTTATCAGACGGTAGTTACGTGACGACTCAGAGTCTGGTGACAAACCGAATCCAAATGTGTCGAAGGACTATTCGTTTAGTCCATTTTCTTCAAATTTTTGTATTTAAAATAAACTTGCAATGGTCATTGCCAGGCCACTTTCTGTTTTTTTTTTTTAGTGCTTTTGATTTTTTTTTTCCCAGTTTTTTCTCCTGTTTTTTTTATTTTTATTTTTAAAGGCTAATTCTTTTAAGCCCAACCAATTCAATTACCTGTCAAATCTGGACAGGACGGGCTTTTCAGGCCTTTTTTTATTGTCGATATAGTATTACAGGGAACCCCGTAGCAGCCACATCCGTGCTCAAGGTTTGTATTATGAGCCTGCATTGTTTGTTCGCAAAATTTTCGACGACATTGCTTGTGATGATGCAGCAAAGGAACCCGGGAATTTTGGGCCTCCCGCTCATCAGCTCTCTGGCCATCTTTTGGGATTTTGACAACCAGTTTGGTGACTTTTGCTGATAGTGTACGCAGGGTAGCTCAATGGCATAAAAAAAAAAAAAAGGAAAAAAAAAAGGGGGTAGCTCAATGGCTCACAACTGATTGGGACCGAAGTCCCATCATGACACGAAGTCCCATCATGACATAACACTACCTACGCATGACAAACATGTGCACTTGTGTGCTACGTGTGCTTTGTTCTCGTTGATGTCTTCTGATATCCTGTTTTCAACAATCAACAATCACAACTGATTGGGCTAAAGCTAGGATTTTTTGCTACGTTTTTTTAACTTGTAATTTTCTACACCATTCGTATCGATGCACTCTGGAGGCTGCGGTCGGGGATGCGCTTGGCCAAAAGTGCCTTGTGCAGCCTCCTGTGGCCGTGGCAATCATGTAAAGGACGCCGGCCTGCTTTCCAACTTCTAATGAAATGGTCGCCTTTTTTTTTTTTTTTTT